TTGTAGCACAATGCAAGCTTATCGAGCTCCAAGCGCCATCGACGCAAGCCTGTCACGCGGTGCCCGCACGCAATTGATTATTTCATTTTCACAATGAAGCGTTCTTTTCCTTTCCTTTTTGTGGCTGCTCCATAACAGCCAACTGTTGCAACTATTTCGGGAATTTCCGGAGACCAAACAGGTGAGCGGCGGCCGAAACGGAGTAGGATTGATGATGTCAAAGTTCGGCAAACGCGCGTCTGACTGAGTGGAATGCGCATAGTGCAACGTGGCCATCAATGTCGGCCGATGGAACTATTGCAATTACCAATTAGGGCGGTGGGTAGATCGACTGCTATAGTAGAACAGTTCCGCTTACGATAATGACTGTCGTAGAAAAAGGCCGACACTTTTCGCTGGACTACGGATGTCTTGACAACGGTCGCAAATTTTCCCATTGGTTGTGCACGATGCATCAGTTCGCCTCACGACTAGGCCTCGAGGTTGGCCTGGCTCTCAGCTGGGCCAGCGTTGCTGTTTCTAGATGGGATGAATTATTACTTGTGATGTGAAGTCAATCTAAGGAAAGTGTTTATATATACAATTTACCTATTCGCCCAGCCTTGTTGCCAAGATCCAGTAGATGATACCGTAATGGCCCGTTCAAGTTCTTTTATTTTGTGTGTAACGATAGGCTTCATTGAAAATATGGTAAATTAACTGATCGACCGCAGTAGACAATAAAACTAAGAAAAAAGCAGGAAGAAACACAAGCTATCATGACTGTAATTTTACGATTAAAAAAAAGAAATATTCGTCTTCGTTCTCTTTTTACCGCTGTACCAATGCGTCATGTATTTACGAGATTACTTTCCATCATGTATAGGGAGTTTCACACTAGTATTCGCGCTAGACAGGACCAGGGCACTGTGTCGGTAAACGGGCTTATCACAGAGAGTGTGTTTCTACTTCTTGCTATCTCTGTCCCGATGCCGGTTCCCTGACGTCAAAATGATAGCCGACCAACAAAGCAATGTTGGTCAAGTCAATGTTAGTTGTGCGCTGCAAGCAAATCATTGCCCCGGTTGAGGTGGGACACGGGAGGAAAACGCGCAAAGCGTCTCGCCTTAACTCCTCGCTACTACTGCTGGCAAACGAACACATTTCTCCACGGCTTTCAAAAACCTTTGGCTGGTCATTCACGATACTGCCTAAGTGAAGGGTTGGCCAAACCCTCCTTTAAAATCCGAACCACAGCATGTCTGTCTCCGTGAGTTTACCCGTTGTCAAACAATTGCGCGCGCCTCTGACTTGCGCGAAACCGACCAAACTGTTTAACAAGCACATAGCTGTCGTACATGGTAAAATGAGCAGAAGGAAATGTTTACTCATGCTTGAGACTGCCCCGGACGGGGCAGTCCATCTCACAATTACATCCGTTCTTCCGCACGCCACTCGCTTCTCGTCTTCTTGCCGCCTGACGACTTCACTTACCGCCCACTTCGATAGTTCGCTTAACTGCTAGGGCCATTCGCCTACACATCGCTGCCGTGGCTCCCGCAAAGACCGCCTCCATCGTCACAGTTTTTGCATCCTCGCTAACGCAAAGCTATCTGCGGTAGCGATACGGCTACCGTCTCACAGCTAAATTTACTGCCACCGCGCGTCCAGGTAGTCGGGTGGAGTTGAGGGTAAGGCCGATGAAACTGCACTGAATGGCCCACAGCTCCGCCCAGCCTAACCTAGGCTAGCCACTAAACAACGTGTGAATGCGATTCAAAGTGGCGGACTCTTGAAGGCTGCCGTGGCACCAGCGGTGGCAAAAGCAGTGGCACCGTAAAGTCCTGCTGGTTTATCGATGGAGGGGTGCACGTTTATGAGTCTATAGACGCTGACTTGCTGGGGCCACGCCGGCCACTAGCAGAAACTTTCCAACTTCTCCATCTTCTTTCTATGGGGTATAGAGGTGTAGATTTTGGGTTGGACTAGAAGAGGGTGTAACGAATCTGTTGCTACTGGTCCTATCCTTTTCTCTTCAATAAAAGTGAAGTAAAAGCCTTCCGTACCGATCGACTAATGGCTCGGGTGGGAAAACCAGCGAATTTTCCTACGTGGGCTTGCAGGTTTGTCCTCTAGACGGATAACCAAACAAGGTGACGGGAACTTGTGCAACAGACACTAGAAAGTACTACTACTACTACTAGTATTATTATTAGGAACACTAATAATAGTAGTAATAACAACTTTAATATTGGTAGTAAAGGTGGTAAGGTGTTTCGTCTTTCCCGTAACGAGAGCGGAGTTTTCATTATGTGGCGTGATAAATATAATTATTTTTAGAGTAGCATGAGCTTGTCCAGCTTGCTTGACAATGCTTTATAATAACGTAGACTCACCCAGCAGGCTGTAGATTTTTGGATAAAGTTCACTAATTTATATTTACGTTGTACGTTTTAATATATATACATATATGTTCCGTTTTATTTTTCAGGTAAAATTAGGTTTCTGGCGATGTATACGAATGAAGAATTTAGCTGAGGGTATCTATGGCAGAAGGAACGTTCTGAAATAAAAACCGTAAATCATATTGATAGCTATAGGATCGATATAGGGGCTTCCACTTTCTAAATTTTAGGTTGACACCAGACAAATTACTGATAACCTCGAATCTTTTTTGTAATACCGCATAATCGAAGGCATGCGGATACGTTCCGGAGACGCAAAGATCTGCAAGGTATTGAGAACCAACAAAATAAAAAACAAAAAGAAAAGAAAAAAGCTATAGTGAAACAGTGCCGAAGCATAGACTCCCACAGACAGCTATCATTATCACTATGACTATTAGATTTTTATCCAAGGTTAAAAAAAATGTACATAACGCGACCACGGGTGAAAATTATTTGCTAAGCAAAAGTAAAGCATTTCGTGAGGGTCAATTTCGGACCAAAGATTTGCTCGATCGTTCGGCACGTCTGTTTCATTAGCGCCGTCGATCGAACTGTTATATGTTACTGGCGTCGTTCGTAAATGGGTCTCTTTTCTATTCGGCCCAGCCGCTCAAATACATGTCGTGACCACGTAGAGCGGAAAAATGATGATCTGAACTAGTTTGGGGCTAAAGGGCGCCGGTACTAAGCAGACGATTAGTAACAGTGGCTATCTGGATGGTAGCAAATTGAGTCATTGCAACGGTGATCTTTGTGTTAACAACATTATAACTATGTTATATCAAGAATCGACAGGGAGCTTTCGGCCACAACGACATGAGACAACAGTGTCGGAGTCTTATACGAGCGACGATGTTCTAAACGCGAAAAAATTACGTGACAAGCATATAGACGTTTTGCCGATAATGTTACGGCAACGCCATTTTGCGCGTCATCACAAACATATAGCAAGCATGACAACCGTAAGCGACACGCTGACGCATTTACACAAGTATGGATGGCATTTTATCTGTCTGTGCGTTTAAAACAGTAAACTGACATTTAGATGTATCTCGATTGATGTTTCCGATAATGTCCAATGCCAAAAGAAAGAAAGAAGCATAGATGGGTTCATGTAGTCCAGTTTCATCGCCTATAGTTAACATCGCCGAAGCAGCCGCTCATAGCCCTTCCGCGTTAATGATTTCAATTTATTTGAAATAGCGGAAGCGGTGCGCCTCCATCGTGAACTGACTTTAGAGCACTCCGAACCATTCGTGCTCCTGCTGTTGCCGATGTTCGTACCGATCAATGGCGGTTTCATTTAGCTTCAGGAGATGCAGATTCAACCGCAGTAAAAGCGTTCTCACGATCGTATCGCAATAGTAACGTGTTCGCCGACAATGGCGTATGTCAAATTTGGTTCATCTCGAAGATTCTTCTTAAAGTTGGCTGAAAGAAAACGTTTAGGTCCAGATGCTGTTGAACCCGACCCAATTGTTTTTCAGCTTTGTATCGTTATTAATGTTTATGCTAGCTGTTGTTTCTATTCGATGTCTAATCGTTTGCCATCTGCCAAACAGGCCACCTTTTTCAGGTAAAGGTAGGCTTCAGTAAATGGGGCTTGGCCGATCTGTGCGCTTTCTAGAGGACCATCATGTCCGACCTGCGAAAGGCCGGCTCTAGAAATAAATTATACTGAAGTGAGTGGTGATATTCTGTGAAAAAGAAAAAAAAGGTGCTAATCAAGAAAAACATCATTGGTATTAATTCATTCGTGTTCCTGCTGCTTGATAGCAACAACGACGAAAAAGGAGTGATTAAACGGGGTGGCTTGTTGTCATAAAGTGCTTTTTAAGGAACAAACGGGCACTTTGAATCGGTCGTCGGGCAAAAGGTAAACGATGTAGCCAACAGTAACATGGATACATGGCCAGTAATAACTGTGGCTGTTGTGCTCGATTCTATTCCCCGGTATTCCAATCATTCATTGCTGCAACGAATGTTATGTCGTAGGGCTTACTGCGCTAGTCCTATAGACGACAATCGACTTTCCCGAATATTTCTCTATCCAGTGTTATGATTACATCTTCCCTTATTCGTTTAGAATAAACCACTAACGCTAGCGTAGCTTCTACCGATCCGTTACCACTTTAACCGATCCGAACCACTTTAACGCACCAGAACAATGACCATTATCCCGTACCGCAAATGTCCCATCTGTAAAACTAAAAAGTAACTTTAACCGTTCATTCTCTGAACCTCTACGTTTCACCCTGTCTCTCGCGAAACCCTCGAGGTAGCTGTCATCTCCGTGCGCCTTCGCCGTCGCTGACTTCACTTCCGTCCTATAGAATAAGTGAATTTAACGGGTGATCTCGTCACCGCTGCTGTCGCCACTTTCATTACTATGATCACTACCGTTCAAGCTTTTCTGCAAATGCTGTTGGCTCCAGTGGAACTGCCATTGTCGGCAGCTACTGACGTCCGGTACTGTTGGGGCTGCGTTGGCCGTTGCTCCGCTTCCATTGCCGGGGCAACATCGCCGCCTTCCAACCCGTGAAGAACTTCTTTTATTGCCGTAGCTGTACGACCAGCAGAAGAACTTAGAAATTCTGCTGTCGTCTATTGAGAACCGGATCCAGAGGCATACGTTACTACGATGCTCTAGTTTCGAACACAATTAGAATTCTATTATATGCACAAGTATAGTTAAGTATTAGGGTCAACCTAAGCGCGTGGCGATCTGAAGGGAAAGTGGGTGTAGACACGATACTGACAACGACCCAATAGATAAACTGCTAGTAAATTTATCATTATGCGGAAGTCAGCGTAAATTTACGCATTACTATGACCAACACTTCTTCAGCACAAATAGTATTTGCAAGGCAATTGAATGGCAGGTAAGCAGTGAATGATTTGCGACAATTCCTGCGAACCTGAAAACGTCTATGGAGCACGGTTTATACCGGGCTTAGGATGCTAGCTTGTTTTTTTTTTTTAATAATCTCCTCTATATCCAAGCGTATCGTCGCACACTTGCATTTTGTAGACGGTTGACAACGACCCTTTGTCGGACCAATTTCCCTTGTACTGGATAGGTATCTGAAGGATGATCTTTATGCAAGTTATGGGAGTGTAGAATGCATTCGTTCTTTTGCTAATTTCCTATATAAGTGGCTTCGTTTTATGAGCGCCATAAATTGCTATGCTCTGAAAAATTCCAAAGGGCATTTATCTATGCATCTATAGAGGATTCTGCCTGCGGCTATATAGGACTCTGCCTCCGTACATGTCTTGAACCAGATTCGGAATAAGGGCGGATATGTCTTGACCTACAATTTGTGTGTTTGAATCTGCCGCTGTTTTCGAAAAGCATAGAGGGACTACAGTTTTACGTCTTCATCTGCTTATCTGATCATCATGCATAAGTCGTAAGAGAGTTCGTTTTGACAAAGTTACATAAAATATAGATAACCAGTTATATAGGTCTTTTTGAACAATTATGTTCTGGAACTTTTTTTTAACTTTTCTCTAGTTTTACTAATGTTTAGCTTGTATAAAAGCTTATATATATATATTACAAATAGTCTTTCCATAGTAGTTTTTCGTTTTGCTTTTCCGTTATACATCTTTCTCTTTGTTCGATTCAGCATACGTATATTGTAACTTACGTTTGTTATTCTTTAACTTTTCGTCACGTTTTTTATTTTGTGTTTGTTCGCTGCGTAAAATCTCGATTTTGCGCATACGTTTTTCCTTCTAGGTCGTGCAATCTCGTTGGTGCGCTGTCATGGGCCTATTTTGAGGTTTGTCGTCTGCACATGGATAATGTGTATCCGCTAGCCCTAGTCGCCAAGCCACATCGCTGTTCGCTATCTAGCTTACAGTCGACGTTTGCACACGATATTAAACCAACCTCGAGGGGGGTCAGCCTTGGACCATTTAAGGCTCACTTGACCAAGTAACTTACTGACCAGCGCATGTACACTCCCTCTTGCTGCGCCTACGTGTTATTGTCATCAAAAGTCGGGCCGACGACCCCCTTCCATTCAAAGGGGTTTGTGTAGCACGCAACCCCATTACATCTCTACACATGTTCGTTTGATGAAATACAGCTCCTAAGTATCATAACAGTGATTGTCGAAGCAAGCAGCAGCGGCGGCTGTTCTGGTGACATAATTGTTACAAATTTTGTCACTTGCCACCTGCTACGAATACTAAGTTGTGAAGAACCGATTGCTCTCTAAGGAGAACTCATTAAGTAGGAGCAGACCCAACAGCTCACCTCCGTGGCCAGAAGGGCCGAAGGGATGACCGAAGTGAAGATTTGGGTTGACAGAGTGCAGCGCGTGATCTCGGGTAAGCGAAATATTGGAACATGTATCTATTTAATTTATATATATCTGTATATGTATGTATATATATATATATATATATATATATATATATATATATATATATATAGGGAGAGAGAGATCCGTAAAGAATAAACGGTACCTAAGTAACTGCACACTTTGAAACGAGGATAATATTTATGTCCGTGGTGTAAAAAGTGCCTTTGATCCATGTAGCGCATGTGTTTGTCTAAGTGTATGGGAAACAAGACAGCCTTATGCTGAGTTTAGGTATGTTGATTTAAATTTTATTTCCTAGAACCCCTAGAAACACCGTTTTTAGCCCACGCTATGCTGTGATATAGATCATAACCGACATGAAAGTTCCATGAGCGTCGCACACTATAACACTTCTGCTAAGTTCCTTGTATATTATTGTTTATGTTGATCTCTGATCCTAGAAAACCAAATTAAAGTGAGCGCGCCCCATTCGGGCGAAAGCTACGTCTACCCGATACTCTCTTTTCCGCTGTTGCTTAGATAGAGTCAATATAGTATCCAGTAGGCAATAACTATTACCTATTGATTCCGACTGTGGAGGTGTTCCGCCGAGCCCAATTCGTGATAATGATCTATCGAAAATAGCAGTAGCTCGGCCTCACTTTCACTCGGCTGGCTGTTCTCGTCAGATGTGAAGGCTAAACAAATAAAGTGACCTTACCTTTCCCTTCCTCGATATCCTGAAATGCCAACCTGGAGCAGTGAGTTGAGTTCCTTTGCGTTTACTTGTCTGCGATGTTACTCCGCCTAGGTGACACGGAGGCCTCGCAACAAATGCAATTTTGCCCATATTTATGACGGTAATTTATAGCTTATCTCGTCAAAGGTCCTGTTGTCCCCCCTGTAGATCAACGTGGGAAGCTATCCTCTCATTTGGTGCATGTAAATTTTACGTCAGTTGGCGATAGCTGGGACCGAATTTGAATGAGGAAAACAAATTGTAAAGAAACGTTTGTTCTAAATGGTTTTATTGCTAGAATTCAGTTGCAGCTGTAATTTCAACGGTTATCGATTCGCGTTGCCTTTAATATTCCCTTTTTTCGCTGCACTCCCCGCGCAGCCTAAACTAACCTGAATATAGCGAACAACCTAAGTTCGTTACGGTTTGAGATTCAGTTGCAAGGAACGGTTCGCGTGCTGGTTGAGACTGGCTGTGATTAAGTCGTGACTACCTTTGTATGTGTCGTTGGCTAGAGGATGGTTTACTGCCGCCGCGTCTTGGCTGGTTGGTAGGCGATCTAAACTAATCAATGGCATTCATCGCGCAAGACTAGTTTATGACCGTGCGAAGGTCTATCTGTCTTTATGATTAGTAAACTCGAACGTACGTGAACGTTGCTTTTACGGTTATCCGATATTCAGGCCCAATGGGTATATACATTTTTTGGCTTTTCCGTTCACTGCTGCTGTTCATTAGTCACAGTGCTTCAAGAGGCTGGTTTCCATTCTAACACGAAATAGAGTATATCTCCATTCGAATCCAACCAGAAAGTACAGTATAATTGTTGTACGTATATATGTAATTATCCACGGTATGGTTGGAAGCGTAGTTCTTGTTATAGAATTTTTTAAAACAAAGACTTTTTCTTTTCTCCAAGTAGTTTCAATTGATCCCGTTGACAAAAAACCACGTCCTAATATACGAGTATGTTGTGCAATGTCATAGCAGTCGGGCTCGATACTAACAAATAAGCTACAAAGTTATTCGATATAATGCATTGCAGTAGCATAAACTTATTGAAAGCTTCTTTGTTGCCTTCAAGTCCTATTATTTCTCAGCGTCCATATGCGTTTATCTGTACAGTTAACTTGCGTAGAAGGTGGCTCATTTAGAAACTGGCGTGCTCTTAGTACCGAACGGAAAGGCGGTAGCTGTCAGCGTGTTTGACGATGCGCCCATTTTTGAAAGTCAGCTATGGTCTAGTTTCGAATAAAGTATGACGGAACAGATTTCGAAAATGCCCCAAGACCAAAGCATTTCGTCTGCTTCGACTCACTCGCCTCTGCTCCTCTAGTGAACTTGGCTTATGGTGAGGCCACGGCGTGTACGAGCGGCTAGATCAGAGGTCTCATATTGCAACAGACTGAACATAAATACTGAATTGAAGCGGCCTGTCTAAGCTGTCAATCTGAAGTTGTCCGACCTATCTCAGGGTATCGGCGAGTATCAGTATGTCCATATGTTAAATTGTAGTACTGAATAGGAGCAGTCCGCATGGAACGCTTAGCTAGAACATGGAGCCCTGTATACTCTCGCTCGTCCCTTTAAAGCTGCTTTTCGCTGTTTCTGTAGCGCCGTAGCTGCCACCGAAGGCCGCCGTTAGTCGATTGGTCAGTTAGTCGTACACTTATTCGATCGAAGGATAAACCTGCTGGGCTATGAATACCGCCCAACTGTGTCTCCTTCCACCAGAAGGGATTGGGCTGTTCGAAATCGTCCGTGCCAACCTGGTTATATTGTGCTTTGCGCCGATCTGGGTGTCGTATATTGTATATATTATTTGTTTATTAAGATGTTCGCTTCGTCCGGACTGAGTGAGCATCGAGAATGCCTTTTGGCGTCAAAACGGAAATGTTCCAAGTTCATTAGTCCTTGTTGAAAGCCGATGGTGTTAGTGGGTAGCCCCCAGAGTTACTAGTAAGCGTAAGATTAACGATAACGATCATTCAGAACTGTAAAAGGATTCCGGCCGAGTCACCAATTTATAATATTGGGGGTTCGAATGACGTTTTTGAGGCTTCGCTGGTTATACTCCTATGGGCAGCTGAGTTGTGCTTTGCCGTTCCGCTTCCGTCGACTGGTTTCCTTCGGGTTGTAGGGTATCTTCCGACGGCAATAATTTACAACGGCACTTCGCCCTGAAAGGACGTATGTAACCAGTTTTTCCTTAGGCGAACAGCAGATGAGTTTTAGTAAAGGCCATGTTCCTTTTGGAGCTATTCTATCATGTATAAATTTCTATGAATTATATATTGTATATACATAGTAAAAAAAATGGACGATGAAATGCATTCTATTCTTAAGTAAATATCGCTACCGTCTATACAACATCATGCAGTATGTGTCGGTCGGCCTGTCCCTGTATTAGCGTGCGATATTAGCTAAAACAGGATAATCCAAATAAATATGCTGTCGCGTTAACCAAATGACGACAAATGAACTATCAAAATGGAATCCTTTATAATTTCTAGTTTCGTAGGGTTTTTACGTATCTAATTGGTACGCCCTACTAATATTATTATAATTATTTCATGCTAGTATATAATATGGCCTGCTTAAGGAAGGAATGCTTAAGGAAGGCTGGCTTATAAGGAAGCGTCGATATTGATGCTCAAAAAACAACTTCAATTTGCTCATACACCGCCCCGCTGTACAGTCTCAACATATCTGTCGGCTAGGTGTATTATGCTGTATCTCGTTAATGTGGTTACGCAATAGATTTCGCTATAGTCGTAGTTTACGGCCAATCTTCCTCATGATGCCACACCTGATCCCCTTTCGTAAGGGCTCGCAAAGCTCGGAATCCTTTAGATTTTTCGTGTCATTGTAGGCTAGAAGGACCGTTGGTGATGACATCAAAATTTTTATACTTTCGCTTCACTCCTGCCCCTTTTTTTAATTACTTGCGTGGCGCATTTACAATTTGTTTATTTTTTGATAAGCAATATGCCTCTTTCTGCACGGTAACAAATGGGAGCGTGGTCCTTCAATAATAAAGACAACGATGGCCTAAACGAAGAGAATGACCTTTCATTGTAAAGAGATCTGTCCCATTTAGGGGTTGCTTGCTATTGCTTCTGCCGCTGGGGTTGTGCTACCCCTAACAAGCGTTGAGCGACCTCTCAATACCGTAGATGGCGAGAGGTCTTAGCGCTGTGCGGATTCTGAGAGGACAAAATCTGAGGCCACGGCAAATTGCAAGCGGGGCCCGTAATGATTTTTGCGGCCATCGTTGCTTCTCTGTATGTTTTTTCTCGAAAGGAAGAAAGTAGATGGGGAGAGACAAACTAAACCCTATCTTTTCGTTTCACAACAGGTGGACCTTGTAGACCTAACTGCAGTCAAGTCCATAGTCACGTAGAGGCATCCTTGCGCATTAGTAAACCATCCACAATGGTGAAGCCTTACCGACACAGAAAAGACCCCAATCTATCGTGGTGTTATTTATATTATCTCTTGGTGTAGCGCAGTATCTTTTCATGGTGTTCCGCCAAGTTGCCACCATCGCCTGTGCCGCCCTTATCAGGCCTCAGTGGTAGACATTTGACTGTGGTTCGAGCAATTCTTCTTTGCTTGTAGTTTCGCCTCGTGCTTCGTAAATGGATTCGTCCGCATGTGACATGCAGGAGAGCCCCCAGCAAGTGAACAGGCGAGTGCTAGCAGCTGATCTCGCGGTCTTTCATTTCTTTGACACGCACTATAGTACTGATGCTCTAATGGTATACGTGAGCATTGCCACTTGCTGCTCAGTGCTACCAGAGATCAGGTAATGCCATATGCCTGCGAGCAGAAAGGCAAACTTGTTTGCTGAACAGGCCGAACAGGAGTCTGGGGGAAACCGTAGTTCTTCATAACCCCGTTTATGGTACGGGTCTCCAGTCTTAAAAAAGCCTTCGCGGTTTTCACCGTCTCTCCATCTTCCAGTTTAACATTTCTCTCTTGGGTTTCTGGTTCTTTTGCCCTTGGGATATGGGTCGATGCATGCTTCGATTTTCTCGGTAAATTGGTTTTGCTCTAAATCCGACGTGTCCCCATACAACGCGCTTGGTGCGCACCATGCGGGTACAGGAGGGGGGGGGGGGGGGACGTACACATACTGTTCTAGCCAAGCCGATATTCTTTATCGTGTTGGCTTCACCGCCGGCGGGGGTGCAGAAAGGCGGCTAGGATCCTGCGTTGCGTTGGTTTCCTGACCGTTCGAGTCGTGCGCACTGGACTATGTTTTGTGCCTATGGCTGCTAGGA